TCCACAGACTGAATAAACCTGACACATCACAATTTATCCTCTTTCCGGTGAATTCTATTGACCGAAATTGCAATTCATGGGATTTAACCAGGGACGAGTGTAGGTAATCTAAATTGAGAAGTAAATGAAAAACGCTCGATTGTTCTAAGTAGATTACTCCACTTCAGCTCCAAGGGTGTGATATTCAAGTTTAGGATTATTACGCTCAATATAAGATAAATGCTAGTCCCACTACAGTAAACCAGTTGGTGTTCGTACTTCACAATACGTATGTCATTCTATATTTTCCGCCTAATAACCCCTTTCCCGCATCCAGTGAACACCTGTTTCAATTTTGGATCAAGGCACTAGAAACTAGAGCTATTTCGATTTTGTCAAACATTGACTAAGTAAACGAGAGTGAGACTAATCGATCACACTTTTGGGCATTTTCCATTGAACCGATTAAAGACATATGATATGTACACCGGTTTCTATTTGGTTGATTGATCACATTTTTCTCACTGACAGTTCTGCAGGCAAACGTTTAAAAATCCCATAGGCCAGGGTTCTGGTTGCAGAATTCTGCAACAGGCAAACGTCTAACTGACCAAGTGGAGTCGCGCAAACCGAAAAGTGAAGTCGTTTTTTGCAGTTATCTAACTTGAGCAATATATATGGGGACAGAATAAAGCGCATGCACCAAATTGGATATTTCCTAAGTGGCATGTAGCCGTAAACCTGGTTCCTTAGCTTGCAATACGAGACGGAATAGAACGCTTTGAGAGATCAAGCGAGGTTCGCAAACGGACTTCCCGGTTTCGCTGTTTATTTTCTTTTCCTGGTCAACAACGACCTGTTAATGCGAGACAGTTTTCTCCAGCTTGATTTGAGGGATTTGCTCGCTGTAATTTACGCATTATAATCAGACTGTTGCAAAGTATTTAAAGTTATTCAAAAAATATTTTCATTGATAAGCTAGCTTCTCAAGGAACTACTATTGATGGCAATTATGAAATGCATATGATGCACAGAGACCTCTACGATTGAGTACTAAATGTATTTAAATACAATCAGAAAATAAACTTAACATTTTATTTCCACACGTAAAGTCACAAAGGAACAATATACTATCCCTCCAGGTACGTACCTCCCGCAGCTTTTGTCCGATAAATCGTCTGAAAAATGATCGAATTTCATGCCACTGTGAGGTACGATTTGACTACGGGGTACAGGATAAACGTAAAACCGCTGGTGGTGGCGACTTTCATCGTGGGACAACATCGTTCCAGAGTAGCATGTTTTTATTACCACTTCCCTACTGCAGCACAACACGACGCTTCCGATATCAATTAGGATCGCATTTGGCTGAGCAGACCAGACATGGTGCTGCGCTCATTTGGATAGGAACCGCAAAAAGCCGACCACTGTTTGTTGCTCTCTCCCGGACACCGGTCTCATGTTCCCGGTGTTTGATGCACAGCACTGAGCTATTGTACATTACGAATTGCGGAGATGGGAATTAGAGTGCAGTGGGTGATAGAAGAGGCGAACAAATGGGTGGATGTGACGCAGTTTTCCGTTGCGGTTCATACATCATACACCTCCCCACATNGTTGAGTTCCGACCTCACAGTGGAGCAGCAACTGAGCTGATCAGGAGAGAGAGAGAGGCTGGAGACGCCGAACATCATCAGGTGGCGTAGTTGGGTTGTGTTTAGGTTGAAATGAAAGTGATCATCCATCCAGTGGATGAGACTGAGTAGGGATTTGTGTATCATTTGTCTCTCCACCTTTCGCTTCGGCACAAGCGCCACAATTTCCAACCTCACTGAAATAGAAAGAAGCGCGAAATGGAAATATCACTGATCAGATTTTTCACAGAAGTAAACCGTTCGCAATCAAATTTTCATCATAAGCTTGCTATAATGAAAGGTACTTTCGAAACTGATGAAAAAATGAAATACAATAAAAACATCATGTTTGTGGATATGCAAACTGATGCATTATTCCGTCAAACGTTATTTCATTTTTAGCACTTTACGTAGCTGTTTGGTGCACGAAGGAAGAACTGTCCCCCTTCGGAAACTAGCATGAAAAAATATGATGCCATAAAGTAAAACTGATATGCTACCTGCCGTAGACATGAATCAAAAGGTGATTGTCTATACCATTCCACCATTTCTTTCTTTTTCTTTTCTTTTTCGTTTTACTTCCTTTTATTGAATATATACAAAGGTACAATTTTCGGGAAGGGGGATGCCTCCAATAAGAGGGCTGCCATACAACACACACATACCCGTCGCGTAATGCGATATTTCGTGTTATGTACATCTCAAATTTTAAACAAATAGAACTGGTAATAACGATAGAGTATTAAAAATCACAGGATAGCGAATCAAAGAGATCCGGGTAAACAAACGTTCTTCCCTCCCTACATACTAATTCAATTTAATCTATTGTAATGTGTACATTTCCGGACAGCTTAGGTGTTTGTATTCTGAAACCTAACAGAAATTCCGAAACACAAGGGACACTTTGTTTGAGAATGCTTGGTTTGTTGATTCTGTAAATTGAATAGCTGGTAATTAAAAATAAAAGGGCTTATTCGATTGCAGTCCTTGCTTGCCATTTCGTGGTTTTTTCTTCACAGTTCATCTGCATGTGCACCTTTCGTTGGTGCACTGATCTTGTCTAAACTCTCGCAGTCTGATGGAAAGGCTTTGCATCAAAACCCCTCCACCAGTTCTCAAATGTTAATATATATTTATAATAAGTAGTATTCGAATGACTGGACAACATTTCCATACATATATATTATGAATGCATTTCTAGTTCCCGAACACTTGACTACGTGTGCTGTTCGCTTGGATGATGACTTTCGCAATCACTAGAATTAAATTTAACTAGGGGAGGCGCTAACAAGTATGTTAACAATCATATGGGGAATTTCAATACAGTTCGTTTTAAAATATTGCTCAAAATGGAAAGATGATTAATCCGTGGATAGTTTCGTGTTTCCAGTTGTCTCCAGTCCCGGCACCCTAGATGGCTCAATTCGTAGAGGCAGTCACAACAAGAAAACATAGACTTACCAGTGCTCTTGCTACCCAAGTTTCGTCTCAGTAAAGCAGCAGAAAATTGTTGCATAGGCTATAGATTCATGAAGCGATTTTCTGCAGGCTGTATTGTAGAACAACGCAATGGTGCAATGATACTGAGAGGATGGAATTAATCGTTCTCCAGATGTACGTACTTTGCTACGGAACTCACCGTCGAAGAAGCTCTCTTTTGCAGACAAGAGGCAGATTGCCCCTGATGCGACCTCATTTCGCCTTTTGTGTTTATCGATTAACCTGTTTCTGTGAAATAAATATGTAGGTCAAAGGGTGAGGCGTCTAACCGATTGCAGTACGGGGCACCATTTTAACTGGTTGAACCATGGATTCACTAGGATCGGAACCACGATAATTCGTGATAATCTAACTGAGTCTAATCACACAGTCAATTTGCGTGAACCTTTCTGTCCTCTTGATACGGTTTAAGGAAGATTACCCAACGAGCTAGAGGTTCCGAATTTTATTTACAGCCATGACGTTTGCAGTTCGTCTGCACAGACCACGCCACCTTCGCGAAACCCCAGAAACACTTTGTAAGAACACTGATTCTACCATGGTCATTCTTTTATAATCTAGCGATGCATCCTCTGTCTTTAAACGATCATTCATTCACAACCAAGCACTTTAATCTACCTTTCGAGCACATACCCTCCTATTGTAGTATTTATCGCAAAACATCATGTTGTTATCTTCTAATGGTGCACCTCCTGTCGACGAATGGTTTGGCTTATTACAATGTGTCTTAATTAGTCGGTTAATGGAGTACTGAAAACACACTTGTTGGTTAATAAGTTAAGTGCGCATTGTCCGCACAAGACGTGCCATTCCATGTTATACCGAACAAGGTCGTGGAATGTTATAATTGAATGGATCGGTCAAATCTACGTTTAGAAAAGTATGATCCATGAACTATACTTCCTCCACCTTGATCGACGACAGTGGACTAAGGGAACCACAAGCATAATGAAATCAACAACGGAGATTGTTGGCCATAAAACGCAATCCAAAGACCGTAAATAAAACCATATGTCAAGATACCTGAAGGGAAAATGCACACAATGATTGTGAGTTATATCCTTTTCAAATAGATAAATTTCAGAACTACGCATTTGTTTGCCCCCAACTGCTGAGTACATTGGTATGTTACTGGATGTGCTTATTGTTGGGAAGTGTGGATAACCGTCTGTACATCGTGAAATCACGTAGCTAAATTTTTCTTCATCTCGCGCGTTGCGCTACCTAACACACTTTGGGACCAATACACAACAGTTTGTTTGCATAACTGACTGCCATCGTTAGTTTATTGAAACTTTGCCCAGCACTAATGAACGATAATGCACATTGAAACTTTGTAGGATAAAAATAACCATGATTAGATTATTATAACAATAATTGACAGTAGAATTGTGAAATAGTCGCGCTCACAATTGACAATACAATTGAATGAACGGTTTCCTTGATGTGGAAACCGATTTGCACGTAATAACTGAAATGAAAAATTTGATGTTCGCTATACTGTCCACGTAAAAGCATAGAACTCTGAGTCTGCTTGCCCTGAGATCTAAACATACTCGTCCAGAAAAAAATTACTGGTTGTGAGAAATTTTTCCTACACTTGTTCACTAAACTAAAGTATTGTTTTAAAGCAAATGATTTAAGTTAGATAGAAGGATCAGTTGAAAAGAATTTATATTGGAAAATGCATGTTCCTTAATATATATAAATTCTTCTATCAGATTTAAGTTTGTATACCACTCAAATGGCAAATGTTGGAAGACCGAATACAAAAACGCAAAGAATAGCCGCAGCGGTGATGAAATAATTCTCTAGGAGAATCACATGTACACACTAAGCCAGAGATTGAACAATGAACACTACCTATTCTCATTCTCTCTCTGTTTAGGACCGTTTGGTTGGTACAGGGTAAGACACTTGGCGCGACAGAGCCTTTTCTGCAGGGTCTTCTGCGAACTGAGGTGGGCTAGCTAGTAATAGGTATGGGTAGATTTGAAACAAGCTGGGAATATCCACATGCGAGAGACGTAAACGAGTCGAAAATGTTTAACGGAGGATTTGTGAACAGGATATGCTATGCTTATCAATGAAATTCACCATCAATCCATTCATTGAAATTATCTAGACACGACAATGAATTGACAAGCTTTGATGTAAAAGCTTTTCTTCAAAATCCTATAACATATATAGTTCGAAACGGATTAAAAAGATCGGCTTAGATAGAGATGATTGAACATGCTCATTTGGAACTGTTTTTTTTCTGAATGAGAAGCGGTTAATGATGAAATCTTTCTCCTTTATTCCGGATTTTAGCTCAGTCGAGATAGTGCTTTGCGCACAAAGGAACGGTCAAAAATGACTATGCGAGAGCTGATGAGACGTGCTCAACAAGCGGTGAGTTGTCTCAATTTTTGTTGGACTTCGTGGATTTGTGGTAGCAGTGTTTCGAACGTGGTAACCCCGAGCCACGCAGTCAACAATCAACCGGTTGCAAGGATTGTTATAATGCTCAAGAATTGTTATTGAGTGAACTTATTACTCTTAAACAAACACGGAACGCGGTGTATAGTTTTGAGTGTGGATCTCATTTCCCGGGAGTACACTAAGTCATCACATGTTACCAATAGCAAAACAAAGTCGTCATTTTGACCATTTAATTGTTTCCAGATTTCTAATGTTTTTTTTTCGGACGAACTCCTAAGGTACTGTATTTCAAGATTTTTCATGTAATTTGCTGCTGGTGCACATTTTGGTTTGCATCAGTTCAACAGTACTCCGTTTACAAGCAGTGATGTCGTTTATCCTCACTCCCACAATTGCCTCTCGCCATTGAAGCCAGGTGGTCGTTTTGACCGTTTCTCTATTAGTGGACGAAAAAGTAGACCATCGTGGGTCGAGCCCAATACAGTCTATAGGATTGATTAAGCACATTACTTGCTTAACGAAATAGGAATATATTTCAAGTAGATAAAAATAGAGAACAAGCTCGTTTTTATTATTCGTAATCCCGGCTATATATCATAGCAAATATCTGTAAATATCAGTGGTCAACCGTAAGAATTGCTTTTGAAGGGGAAACATAAGTCAGGCGTTTGCTCGAACGAATCCAAGAGCATACTTAAATACAGGACTGGTCCACTCACTAGTGCCGTGGGCTTACACCTAACTGCGTGACTCGCCCAACCCGTAATCAAAACCAATTTGTGAAGATTCAGCCACCCAGCCCATCCACAAACACACACACACTCAGCAGTCCTGACGATCGGATGACCTAAGAAACAATGATGATGACGCATGGACGTCTCCTACGCCTTTTTCTACGCAGGCACTACCAGCTGAACTACCAGGATAAACTGATCACCCTGGTCTTTTCACGTTTGGTTCACCCATCCAACTTACAAAGGCATATGGAATTGGAATTGAAACCTTTCCAGGGGATACAAAACCACACCCAAGACCGCACACAGGCTTTGGTGCCTTAATGAATTAAGTGGGCGACCTTCTGAGTTACCGTCATATGTGCGACACTTACCGCTGTCGTTTAATTTCTACCATGTCCCGTGTACCAGATGGAGACCTTGAGATTGACCGCTTCCCTAGTCTTGAAAATTACCTTTTCAATTACGTATTCAATAAACAGAGATTGAGGATTGAGATGCTCAAAGGAGGCTAATCATATCTGTAGCAGTTGTGGATTGTCCGTTAAATACGACGAAGCCCGATTCTACGAAAACAGTTGCACGCACGATCCAATGAGAACCCAAACGAAAACAAACAATTGAATTCGATTGGAATGCATCTCCGATGCAAACCAAGTGAAGTAACCAACACATAACAATGCCAAGGTCAAAGCTAAAACGGACGAGAAAAGAGTGGGTCGGTGAACCGACAGACATTTCAAGATGGTTGTGATCGGATGGGGATAAACAAACAGTTGACCACGATCATCCGTAAAGACGTACGGACAAAAAGTGCATTTAGTGATACAGTGTGCAAAGGGTGCATGACATGTGAACGATACAAAAAGAGGTCAAATACTGGTTGCGTTTGAGCGAAACGAACACAGGAGAAGCAGTGTGACGTAGATGGTTTAGGGTCGAATGGTTCGAGGATGAGGAAAGTGAGGTAAACAACATGTGAATTCAAACGAGAATCTTCACGTGAAAATTCCGAGGATATAACAAAATGGTTATCGAATGAATGAAAGTGCCGTGTTGTGAGATTGTCCATTCACCAGTCTTTTTGTCTCAATAGAATTTCCTATCCGTGCAAAATGTAGAACAAAATCAGCTTTTGATAGCAACTAACGAGAATGAGGGATTGAATAGAGAATTGCGGAAAATATCTGTTAAACCAATCAAAAAGGTAACAAACTTAAGACAGAATTACTCAAGAAGAAAATGTAATATGCTCACGGAGTATACTCACTATGACATTACAACACACTTTCAGATCCGAACAGCTGTTCTCGGTAATTCATAGGACACACATAACATGCATGAAAATAGGGATGTTTAAGCCGATTGGGTATGCTTCATTTTGCATTGAAAGAAATTTATATGCATATCATATAAGCCGGGTGAGCCTGTATTATAGTCACACCGTCATGTGGATTTAATGATTTACTCGTAATAAAAACTTTAGAAAATGGCAGTTTGTCGAACCTGGCCGCATCTAAAGTTCCCTAATGAGGTGGCTACATCTGTAGCTTAACGTAGCTCTGCTTGGCAAATCAAACATCCGAGCCACTAGCATTCCTATTCCAAAGGATGTCCCCTCACACTACAATCCCGCTGTCTTGGAAGCAGAGAGTAATTTCACTTATTTACAAAGGCGGTTGACGTTGCGATCCCGCTACCTACCACCCTTTAACCCTTTATCCAGTGTTTTCCAACCTCATGGGATACATATTAGCAGATTCATTGATATAGCACGCAGAGAAGCACAACGTTCTGTCACAGAATCAATATGCATTCCGAGAGAAACGATCCTGCGCTATCAATTTGCTCATCGCACGAGAAGCATGAACGAAAGAGGCTGATGACGGCGACATGATAGACGTTATTTATCTATAATTCTCAAAAGCGTTCTATCGGGTGAACCACGACATTCTATTGCGGAAACTCTAGAATCACATTATTCTGGACCTGATGATTGATCGAATCATTTCTGCAACATCGGACCGTATTAGTTCGTGTTTCTGATTCGCTTTCCAGTCCTATAGACGTTACCCGTGGGGTTCCACAAGGAACTGTGCTTGGTCCGCGGCTTTTCTTAACATTCCTAAATGACCTACCGAAGGCTCTGGGACCAAAATCATTACTGTTCGCAGAAGACGCCAAAATGTGGAATACAGTAGCGCAACCAGCGGGATCGCTTGCACTCCAGAAAATTCTGAAAGCAGCTCTGGTCTCTTCTGAATGATATGGAATTCAATGTGCCAGCGTGTCAGGTTCTGTCCGAACGACATAAGGGTAATTTCTGTATTTCCTCGGAAATGAACAACTGCCACATGCCTCAAGTGAGAAGGACCTGGGCATCATCATTCAAGAAAACCTAAGCTGCTCACTCAAATACGCCAAAGTATTGAACGCAGCTATAATTAATGTCGATTTGCTTAAGTGGGTCTTGAGTTGGTTTGAGTCAGCACTTTTCCCGCGTCTATTCTCAGCATACATTCGTCCACTCACGGAGTACGCCAACCAGGCATGGAATCAATGGCTACAACGTGACTGCAAAATGCTAGAGCATCCACAAAGGAGGGCGACAAAAATGGTTAAGGGGTTTAATCTTTATTCATGCGCAGAGAGATCGAAGTTACTGAGGTTTTATTCCAATTGCCACCGGTGCATCAGCGCAGATATGATTATGGTATACCAAATAATGCAAAACCCGGGCAATCCGTGTCACCCGCTGCTAAAATTATCACCCAACGTTCGTCTTAGAGGACATCCGTTCAAACTAGCGGTCTCAAAATGCCGATTTGAATGCCGGCGTCAGTCATTCGCAACCAGAGTGTGTTGGATCTGGAAGTCTCCACACCTCATGTCGTCTGTGCGCCAAGCATTGTATCTTTCAAAGTGAGACACCGTGCAGCATTATCACAGCTTACATTCCAACCTAAGTGAAGCTGAGTGCAGCGGTGGAAGAAGCACGTATCATATGACGTTTTACACAAGGAAATGTATGGATCATTGTTTTTAACCACAACACGAACCTTTGGGACGAGAAAAGCATGAGCTTCCATTATAAATCTTTGATATTTGAACCAAAAAACGAGGTAACGCTCTCAGCTGGCGAGTGTTCATGCCAGGTTAAACATGGTAGGATAAACGTCTCCGGAAGCGGGGTTCTAGATACCAACTATGAAGTGATGACTGAATCGGCTTTCCATAGGTCCCATCCGGTAGTCTCTGTTAGTTCCATTGCATACTCACGAGTGGGGACGCCAATAACATTCGTGCGTTAAGGTGGTTGAGGTGTGCTATCCAGCTACAGATTAATTGCACGCGACGTACCGCAATCTGATTATGGTAGTGTTGAGATCTACTGGTACGATTAGTGGCTTGGTCTTCCATCAAACTATTACCTTTAATCGACTGAACGGATACCGTTAAACATGCCGTATTCTCATACAACTAGTAAAAGGTTGCTTGCCAATGCACTCCTATTCTCAACCTCAGTTTTTTTGATGGTGTAATGTTGAAACGAATACTTACATGGAGTCATTATCATGACAACCTTTTTAATGTTTATTCATGCGACCGCTTTACATTTGACATGGGCTTCACAACGCAAAAATCGATGCCCAATGACCGGATGAATGATTCTGCCACGCAGTGAAACTGTTCTTATCTACGTCAATATTCTACAGAGACAGTGATAAAGACAACAATCAAAGCGATGCAAATACAGTTGGGGTGAAGAGAGTGGCGTTTCAAATACTGCTGTTGCATGCTGGTAGTGCACAACTCGTGAAACGGTTTTGGGTATACAGTCATATGGCAGACTGAGAATAAATAACCAGCCAAATGTGCTACGTCCACAAAGGCAACAAGCGCCCGTGTGAGCAAAATGATGTAATGCTTTTTATTGGCAATTTTTCGCCATTTATATTATTCTACCCTGCAGCAAACCGCTGTTCTATTTCCCATTTGTTTCCCGCTGTCTATTTCAGATCAATATTCCGCGCTATTTGGGAGCGCTGCTCTCGAAAAACCGGTCTGTTTTGCTCCCACGAGATTTACCCATACTGGTTACTGATGTGGATTATTTTGAACAACTGGGCACATTCTTGTCCCAAACCTCATACAGGTAACATTGCATTCAGTTTCGTCGACGGATAACACCATTACTTTGACGGGGTATGGAAAAAATGTGATAATGGATTTCAGTTTAGCGTTTAAATTAATAAGTAATTCATNACGGCACGAAAAGCCGACATTCAGCTACAATATGGCATATAATGCAGTCCATCATATGCCCATTGGATCAAAAATAAAGCACAATTTTTCGATAGCAAACATTTCCCAGATATATTTTACCGTTATTCTCCGGTTATTTCAAAGTATAAAGAAACATTTGGGATAGAAATGTGTGGTTCTATGATGTGCCACGTTTTGACAGCTTGCTTTCTCAACCCTACAATCAATGTTACCCAGGTAATTTATGTTTTAAATCTGATCGAAGTTAGATAACTCGGTCTGCGGGTAAACCATTTCACCGTCAGTTGTGGACTGACGCTCACAACAGCATTATTGAAAGCAAAAGA